AGGTCAGCAGCCCGATTCATAACCACTACGCTACCAGAGCTCCTTTAGAGGACATTATGGTGAGTGAAATCAGTCAATCATAATACAACAAATAATGCATGAGATCACCGCTGTAAAAAGTTGAGATTTTCTTACTAAATGAAACACTCTATGATGGTTATAGGGTGGGTAAGGGGTAGTGGGGGTGAGACAAACAATAAAGTGAGTAGAGGTAAATACTGTTAATTGATGGTACATGGAGCAGATTGCAATCATAATGACACAAAGTGTATAATTTGTTGAGTGTGGGACTGAAGATCTGTTCTGTAGACCTTCACTCAATTTACAATAAAGTTTTTAAAACAAAACTACTTCTGCTTATTAGATACCATAATAAAAGTTTTTATTGTAAATAAAATCTGAAATGCCAACATGTATGACAAGGAAAAACTAATATCCTTAATGTTTAAATAGCTCTTACAATCACCAAAAGGAAATTACTACGGTAAAAAAAGTATGGACAATTCACACACACATACCATACAAAAACAAAACTCAATCAGTAAATATGTGAAATAAAAAGTTGTTAAAAAGTACAACTTAAAACATAGATAAAATGCTTAACTTTTCAGACTATTAAAAATAAAACAGTCTTTATTGTTACTTAGGATGTGGTGAAATGAAAACTCTTGAAGGGGAAAGGCATCCCATTCATCATCAGAAACAACATTTCAAGATCCTGAAATAGAATGCTTTCTGTGATACAATAATATCAATGTGCCTAAAAGGAAGACTAGTTAATACCACTATAATTCAAATTTATGCACAAACCTCTAAAGTCAGTGATGATGAAACTGAAGAATTCTACCAACTTCTTCAGTTTGAAACTGATCAAACATGCAATCAAGATGTATTGATAATTACCGGTGATTGCAATGCAAAGGTTAGAAGCAAAGAAGGTTCAGTAGTTGGAATATAGAGCCTTAGTTACAGAAACGCTGCTGGAGATTGCATGAGAGAATTCTGCAAGACCAATGACATTTTCATTGCAAATACCTTTTGAAAATAACATTAAAACACAACTAGACACTTGGACTTCATTAGAAAGAATACACAGAAATCAAACTGACTACATCTCTGGAAAGACAGGGTGGAAAAGTTCTGTATCATCAGCCAAAACAAGGCCAGGGACACAATGTAGAAAAGACCATCAACTGCTCATAAGCAAGTTTATGCTGAAGCTGAAGAAAATGAAAACAACCCAGAAGAGCCAAAATATGGCCTTGAACGCATCCCATCTGAATTTACAGAGATCATCTGAAGAAGAAATTTGATGCATTAGACACTAACAACCAAAAACCAGAATTGTGAGATGACATCAAGAACATCATATACAGAAGAAAGCAAAAGATCATTCATTAAGAAGGCAAGAACGAAAGGAAAGACCAAAATGGATGTCAGAAGAGAGTCTACAACTTGTTCACTGCCATAGAGATGCTAAAGCAAAGGGGAAAAAATGAGCTAAAAGAAATGAATATAAAATTTCAAAGGGCAGCTCAAGAAGACAAAGTAAAATATTATAATGAAATGTGCAAAGACCTGGAGCTAGAGAACCAAAGGGAAGAACAGGCCCACTGTATCTCAAGAGGAAAGATTCAACGAAAAATTTCAAGCCTCAACTTGCAATACTGACGGATTCTAAGGGCAAAATATTGAATGATGCAGGAAGCATCAAAGATGGAAGGAATACACAGACTCACTGTACAAAAAGTGTAAGGTGCACTGAAGGCATTGGCAAAGAACAAGAATCTAATAAATGATGGAATAAAAAGTACAAATCTTTCAACAAACTGATGCAGTGCTAGAGGTTCTCACTCATCTATGCCAAGAAATTTTGAAGACAGCTACCTGGCTAACAGATTGGACATGATCCATATTTGTTCCCATTCAAGAGAGGTGCACCAACAACATGAGGAAATTAGACAATATTATCATATACAAGTAACATTTTGCTAAGGATAATTAAACAGCGGTTACAACAGTACATTGACAGGGAACTGCTAGCAGTTCAAGCTGGATTCAGATGGACATGAACAAGGGCTATCACTGCTGACATCATAACATCTTCACTGAAAGCAGAGAATACCAGAAAGATGTTTGTTAACTGCTGTCAAGTCAGTTCTGACCCATACTGACTCTGTATAGGGTTTCTGAGGACCGGTTGGTGTGTTTGAACTGGCAACCTTGCAGTTCAAATTGACCTTGTGGTCCAGTGCATTATCCTGCAGTGCCACACCAGGAATCCAGAAAGATGTTTACTGATGCTTTAAAATGACTCTGCAAACACTTTCTACTGTGTGGATCAAGGTAAGCTATGAACAGCCAACACTGTGGGGAATGAGTATTTTGGAACACTTAACTGTCCTCATGAGAAACCTGTACATTAACCTATAGGCAGTCTTTTGAATAAAACAAGGTGACAATGTTTTAAAACCAGGAAGGGTTGTATTCTTTCAGCATACTTATTCAATCAGTATGCCAAGCAAATAATCCAAGAAGCTGGATTATATGAAGAACGTGGCATCAGAATTGGAGGATGACTCACTAACAACTGTGATATGCATATGATACAAACTTGCTTGCAGAAAGTGAAGAGGAGTTAAAATACTGATGATAAACACTTTAGTACACATACACAATGTAAACTATACTATGTTGAAGAATGATGATGAAATCTGAAAAGACCTCTTAACATTAATGAACCTGGAGGACATTATGATGAGTGAAATGTCAATCACAAAAAGACAAATAATGTATACCACTATTGTAAACTCAAGAAAAGGTTTTCATACTGCAGGAAACATTGACAGTTACCAGGGGTGGGAGGAAAGGGAGGGTAATTCACTGGCTAGAAGCTAGACATCTTAACTGGGGTGAGAGGAAGGCTAACTAATGTACAAGAAGAGGGAGGTTAGCAGAAAAATGATGGAGAGAGGTGAAAACACCAGGAGACATGCAAGGACTCAGTGGGTTAAAGTCCTATGTACACTACCATGGAACAACACTGTCTGTGTAAATACATGGACAGAGCTATAGGCTGAATGGGTACGGGAGTAAGAGTGGTACACATATATTGTTGCTAAGTACTGTGGAGTCGGTTCCAACTCATAGCAACCCTGCACAGGGTTTCTGAGGCTGTAAATCTTTACGGGAGCAGAAAGCCTCATCTTTCTCTTGCGAACAGCCGGTAGTTTTGAACTGCCGACCTGGAGGTTAGCAGCCTGATTTGTAACCACTATGTTCCCAGGAGTCCCTACACATATAGATATAATCCCACAAATACTTGAGTTCAAATCGGTTACTACAGGGAGCAAGCGAGATAACTGTTGTTCCATGGATGAGACTGTAATCATTGAGATGAAACAATGCGTATAATTTGTTGAATGTAAAACTGACGATCTTGTCTATAATCCTTAATTCATGCAGCAAAAATGAACATCCTTACTTTTGGATAGGCTGCAACTCCTGACCTGTACTTACACCTATGGCTCAAAAATACAGCCTTCTAAGAGAACAATTACACTAGGGAGGTCCATACTCCTTAGAATAACCAACCATTTGAGATCAAAAGGGTAGAATTTGGCCAAGAACAAGGTTTGGAAGGTGGCAAGGGTTAGTAAAGGAGAAGGAATGCAAATGGAAACCACAGCAAGTGGGAAAAGTGGATGTTACATTGAGAAGACTGTAATCAATAACATGACACAAAGTATGCAAATCAGTAAATAGAAAATAGATTGGGTTTATAAATCTTCATCCACTTCACATTAAGAATGTTTATGCGAACTATTTCCAACTAGAAAAAAGGCCTGAACGGGGATTGTGGAGCAGGACAAGCAGACAAAAGAAGAAATAGGCCAAAAATTAAATCCTAAATTACGTCAAAACGA